GAAATGAAGAGGATCAAATGGACAGTTTTGAAAGCCAGTAATATGCTTACACACACATTCACATACACACAGTATGAACCCCTGAGTGACGCCGTAGAACAGGCGCCTCTCGTACACAATGAAGGTTCACCTGCAGCATCATTGAACAGTCTACCAAGAAAAGCACCCCCCCCCACACACACACAAACCGACAAACAGACAGAGCTCATGGTATGTCTCGCCCCTTCCCTCTTACCGCTAGGCTCCACCTCCACCACACCTTAGAACGGCTCACCTTCCCTGCCCATTGTCGATGTGTCGAGTTTCCCCGCCACATTCAAGACGTCCACGTCGCTGTCGCGCTGCAGCCGCTCGACGCAGCAACGAATGGTATCTCGATGGTTGCAGCAACCCTTGTACCATTCCCACCGCGCAACGATAGAATTCGCCAGCGCCAGACGCACATTTGACACGGGGTCTTCGGAAAGCGACATCATGACCCGCATCCATTGCTGCATCAACTCGTAGCGGCGCAGGTCCATTGGAGACAGACCATCTACAACAGGGAGAATGCCAGAGAGAGACTGAATCGCCACCACACGCCACGTATACGGAGTCTCACCACCCATGACAAACTCCCTGCGAAGAAGATCAAACGCCATGACGGCGGCCCACTCCGGGCCGTACGACGTCGCAACCTCAGACAGCGTCTCAACAGCGCGAGCTCGCACAACGCTGACAGGGTCCCGCAATAGAGAGCGGATAATGTACGTTAGTGGGATGAACTCCTCTTCCGTGAGAGCGGCACAAAAGTAGCGAAGGGCCCCCACCACTGCCTCACGGATGCGCCAGTTCTTTGAGTCACTGACAATGTGCAGGTGGTCAATAAGCCCGGAGATTATCTCAGCAGCACGTTTCTTGCATTCGTCATCCTCCACACTCGATATCGCTGCTGTTGTGCTGGGTGTGGTTGACGTCGTTACTTGAGGCGACGTGTTGTTGTTTCCGTAATCCGACTGCGAACGGCCCGACCCATGTCTCCCACTACGCCGTGCCTTACTACCAGCTTTCCCACCTGTAGTAGTGCCACAGCTTCTGTTTCCCTTTCCTGGGCACATGTACTCGGCAAGGCCAAGCACAACTTGCTCCAGACTACGTGCGGCGCTTCGCCCCACGACGTAGTCGTTGTCGGCCAACAGCGCAAAGAGGGCCTGTCGTTGCTCGTGTGTGTATACCTCGACGACGTCAGGCGAAAGAAGCACGTGAAGGAAGTTTGCAACACTTTCCCGGACAGCGGGTTCCTCATCCTTTGCGAGAGAGGTGGCGACGGCACACATTTTTCTTAACACCTCCTGAGACACCACTTTTGAGACGAGCGTGCTGAGTTGCTCAACCACAACGGCGCGTATGTCTTTGTTTTCATCGTTGCAGAGCGCGATGAATACGTCTAACAAATCGTCCGGCCACACGCAAAGACGGGCAAAGGCACCAAGGTTCTTTGCGGTGGTATATCGGACACGCCAACTCAAATCCTTGCTCGAAGCGATGAAGGGTAGCTGCAGGTACTTTGTTGTCGCCTCTTTCCCAATTCCACCTGCTAGGCGAACGAGCTCAGCGACGTGCATGTAGCGTACCGCGTCGCTTTGCTCATCCATCATGCACTCATGCACCAGTGGAAGCGGCATCTCGGCGAGATTCACCCTATGCACCTCGGCTGCAGGTACCCACTGATGCAAGGAACTTGCTGCGATCTCCCGGACAAAGTGGCACTTGTCCCTTGCCAGCTCAATAAAGCAGTTAAACCACTCCATCACCGTCATACCGCTCGCCTTCACAAGACATGGACGGGCAGCAAAAGTGCCCATCAGCGCGGCTGACACAGCCCTCGGTGAGCTCCAAAACGAAACCCGCATCGACATCATGAGAGGGAGCAATAGAGACTCAGCAATGCTATCACTCACGTATAGCATGATCTCTTCCAAGGAGGTGGAGATCTGCCGCACCACCTCATGATCGGCCGCGCAGCACATGTGCATGATAAGCCCCATAAAGTACATAAAGATATCCTCATTCAGTCCATGCACCTGCTTCACCACCCCTGGCAACACACGGGCGATGGCGCAGACAGAGTCATCATAAATCACAACCATCAGCATGGAGGGAAGGAGTTCTTCCACGATCATCTGTGGGCTCATGTATTCTGCCAGACGCAGACAATCCGTGATAAAGTTGCGGCGCCCCTCTACGGTTCCCACGGCGAAGCTGTACGAGGCTGGTGGCTTTTCCTTATCCGTGTGGATTGTCACACTCGGCATGATGGAGGACAGATGCATGAAACCACTACTGCTCGCTGTGCGGGGACTAAGGGAGAAGGCAGGGTTCATCGAACGCAGTGGGTTCACAGCAGCTGGAGAGTGGCTGCTGTTCGTCGTGGTGCTACGGTCTGCTGCATCAGAACTGAGTTCCGCACTGTCGCCGGCCCGCAGCCTCACAGAACCGGTGTCAATGATAGGCATAAACGTGACGTTTGGCATGCCAGTGAGGGATTCTTCCGGGACAACGAGCGTTGGCGAGGAGCCCATCGACAGCGGCTCCCGCGAGAGCGCCGACAGCTTGATGCTCGCCGCGCCGTTCATCGACTCGCTGTCGCTGGAGTTCGAGGAGGAGCCGGAGCCGGCGTGCACTGACGGCGACCGCTCGGCATCTTCCTTCCCCACCGAGTCCATCTCGGCCTTCTGCAAGGGACTTCGACTGTGAGACTGCATCACGCAATCGACGAAGTAGCAGGCAATTTGCAATGGTGCACAAGGACAGCTGCCGTGAATTCAATTTCTCCCTTCTTTCTCTAGCGTTTTTTTCTTTCTGTGTGTTTCTCCTCCCCCCAACAACTCCCCGTTTTCGTCGTCTTATTCTAACTTCGACCACTAACCAACAAAAAGCAATTTATATATATATATATATGTGTGTGTATATATATATGTAATGACTTGTGAAGTCGGAATTACACAACAGCAGCCAAAAAGCCCTGACCCACCCTTTTTTTTGTTTGGAGCGTAGCGCACAGCCGTTTTGAAGTGTTTCGCCCTTTTCTAGATGTTCCTTCGCGCCCCTCACTTGCACACCCTACAGGGAAGGGAGTCTTGCCGCTATTGTACTAAAAGCTTGTGCAGCGAAAGCTACGGTGCGACACAGCAGCAAACAACAATGAGGTAAAGCCACAGATACACACAGACACAGAAACGGCGAAAAAAAAAAGACACAGAGGGATGGGAAGATGCAGATGTGGCGTTGTGGCATTCAACAACAAGCGTTCTTGGGAGGCATCACAATGGGCAATTCGCCGTGGTTACGAGAGAGAG